AGCAAGTTTGTGAGCAGGGGTCTTGACAGTGAAAGGGTTAAGACTACAGATATTTTAAGGTAAGTAATGAATGTACTGTGTATGTATTTTACTTTTTATTGTTTTTTAATGTCTAGTTCTACTGTTAGCTTAACATATGTTAGTATAAACTTGTTATCTGGCATTTGTATGCATTTATAAGTAGAAAAAATGGTGTTCTGCTTTCCAGCAAAGTCCACTTTCCAGTGGTAGCCTGGAGCCTAACGTGCCATATAAATGGGGCTCTACTCTACTTTTTGTGATTATGTATGTAACTTTCTGTCTGTTGTGGATTTAAATATTCATACACAGGAATGCATTTTTTTTTTTTTAAGCTTAAAAGGCTGTAATAATAAAGGAGCAGCTCACTAGGTAGTAATTTTGAATAACTATCAATTAACCCTTTCGGGGTTTTGGACATACTAGTACGGCTTACGAGCAGGGTTTTTTGACGTACTAGTACGCATAAATTCTAGCTCCGTCAAATCTAGTGAAAGCTGGTAGGCCTACATATGGGTCTATGTGGTCAGTGTGCACAGTATAAAAAAAATCCTGCAGCACACAGTGCATAATGAGAAAAAAAAAAAAACCTTGACTGTGTTTTTGGATTAAAACAGCGACTTTGCACTGCATTTTCGTATGGTATTTATTGTTGTATTCTAGTTTTCCTGTATCATTGTATAGAATGGAAGACATATTACAGAAACTGAGATGATTTTGACTGATTTTACAATGAAAAGTACCTTGAAATTGAGCTCAAAGTAGCAGAAATGTTTGATTTTTACCAAAGATCAAAAGTAAATAAATCATGCCATGCGTCCAACACACGTCAACTGGTGAGTCTAATATTCTTTCACAAGCACGCTGATATTATTTATACCATTTCTACACTAATGCAGTAGTCTGCATAACAGTAAATCTTCTATTTTTTTGTGAGAATAAAAATTCAAAGTGGAAAGAAAAAGAATGTAAGAGGGGCATGGGGACGTGACTAATGAACAGAGGAAATGTTATTTTAGTGCCAGGAATGTCTTTTTTGTTTATTCTGGACTCTATTCGGAAATTGGCATCTTTTGAAATTTGTGTGAAATTGGCAAAATTGCTAAATTCTGACCACTGTATTGGATAGTTGAAATCGGTAAATGGGTGGTTTCTTGTACTCATTCAATAGAAAAAATGGAGTTCTAGCGAAATAGTTATGATTTTTGTTGACTAGTACACTGGAATTGGCGAAAAATAGGGCTCAAAGTGGGCAAAATTGCCGATGCATAAACATCGTTGAGACCGCTAACTTTGCGAGAGCATATTTCCGTAAGTTTTTCATAAAATTTCATACTTTTGGTGTCATTATGATCAGGAAAAGATTCTCTATCTTTTCATAAGAAAAAATAATTTTTTTTTTTGAAATTTGGCCGACCCTGAGAACAAGTCTCTGAGAGGACCTGCCGACCCCTAAAGGGTTAATAGCTCAGGCAGTTGGCTGTTATGGGTGTTGCTCTTATTTAGGGAAATGGTTCAGGATAGGCCTACATTTAAAACAAGTCAGTAATCAAAGTTGTCTGTTACTATGGAGCAGAGCTATAGTGCATCAGACTCTCCATTCAGAATATGTTGAGGAGCATCTTAACCCCTTGACTGTCGCAACCCCAAATCCTGAGGTGTCTCCTGGTGTCGCAAAATTTAAAAAAAAAATTTTTTTTTTTTATGAAATGATAGAGAATGTTTTCCTGATTGTAATGACACGAAAGGAATGAAATTTGATGGAAAACTGACAGTTGCGATGTTAGCGACCTCGGCGATATTTACAAATCGGCAATTTTGCCCACTTTGAGCCCTATCTTCGGCTAATTCCATTGTTCCAGTTGACCAAACTCATAGCTTTTTCTTTAGAACTCCATTTTTTTCTATAGACTGAGTACAAGAAACTGCCCATTTATCGATTTCAACTACCCAATAACGTGGTCAGAAATTTGCAATTTGGCCAATTTCACGAAAATTAAAAAATATTACAATTTCAAAATAGGGTTCAGAATGAACAATGCAGACATTCCTGGCTCTAAAATAACATTTTCTTTGTTCATCAGTCACGTCTCCAGGTCCCTCTGATAATACTCTTGCTTTCTATTTTGAATTTTTATTCGAACAAAAAATAGAAGATTTACTGTTATGCAGACTACTGCAATATTGTAATAATTGTATAAATAATGTCAACCCATTCATGACTGCATATTAGAATGGCTTCTTGGACATTTATTGGAAAATGACATCATTTGTTTACTTTTGAACATCGGCAAAAATCAAACATTTCCCCTACTTTGAGCTCCATTTCAAAGTTCTTTTCATAGTAAAACCAATCAAAATCACCTCTATTTCTATAATATGTTTTCCGTTCTATCAAATGAGACCAAGAAAATGAGAACACAAACATAAATACTGTAAGAAAATAGACCACAAATTCAGCATTTTAATTAAAAAAAATGGTCTTTTTTTTTTTCCTCATTATGCACTGCATGCTCCAGGATTTTTTTTATATGGTGCACACTGACCACACAGACCCATTCTCTCACATGTGGGCCTACCAGCTTTCTCCTGCTTGATTTGAAGCCACTAGAATTTATGAGTATATATATGTCAAAAACGGTGGCTCGTAAGATGTATATATACGACCAAAAGAGTCAAAGGGTTAATGGCTGCATTCTTCTGATATTACAGTGGAACCTTGGTTTTCGTATACTCTACTTTATGTGTGAGACTATAGTTATTCTCTATAAAATTTATTTTTCGTTAATATTTCCCATAAGAAATAATGTAAATCCAATTAATCCCTTCCAGACACCCACAAATATTAACAAAAAATACATTTTATTGAGAATAACTATTGTTTTACATACAAACTAGAGCATACGGAAACTGAGGTTCCACTGCATATGGAAATGGAAAGAGATGATCCTGTGTTGTATGAGAGCATGAGTTATGAGATATCAGGAATGTAATCTAATAAGCTTTTTACATTTTGCAAACTGTTATCATGGTATATTCAGTGTGAAATCTGTTGAATTGTATGCTCACTTACACATTAACTCAGCAAAAAGCTTCATTACTTTCTTGTTGATCTACACTTAATTCCCATATAGAAAGTAAAAAAACAAAATCAGATATGTAATTTGTTGACTTATTATGGAGTTCATTGTTAAATAAAAATACAGTGGACCTTCACCTAACGAATGCATCGCATAACGTTAAATCCGCCTAACGAAGTGTTTGAGTGTAAAAATTTTGCCCCGCCTAACGACAAAAAACTCGCCCAACGTGATTCGTCTGGGACCTGTCCACGCTGTCCCATGGGTGCCAGTGCAGTCACATCTACGCATATATTCGGTACATTTCACATTATCCCAGTGTTCTTAGTACTTGTAACTGCAAAATAAGTCACCATGGACCCCAAGCTTCTAGTGCCAACCCTGTGGTAAAAAGAGTGAGAATTAGTATGGAATTGAAAAAAGGGATTAAGGAAATGTGTGGAAAGTGGGTTGAACTGCAAACCTTGATGAATGAAAATCACCCTAACACAGCTATTTCAAGCCATGCTGGTGACTATTACAAAGACATTTTTGTGGCCCATTTTAGGCATACCTTAACCCGTAAACGGTCCAAACGTATATATACGTTTTTTCAACATTTGAAAGTATGTAAAAAAAGTAGATCTTCTTTTTCTTTTTTTACATTTGAAAATGTGTAAAAAACTTTGGTCTACTCTTTTTTTTTGTTGTATTTGAAAATATGTAAAAAAAACGTAGATCTACTTTTGTAGCACTACACGTGAACGTAGATCTGCTTGGACCGTTTATGGGTTAAAGGAATGTGAGGTACAGAGTTCTATGGACAGATTTGTTGTGCGACAGAGGTCCAGTGACTCTCAAGCTTGTCCTAGTGGCATTAAAAGAAGATTTGAAGCAACCCCGGAAAAGGACTTGCTACCTCAAGTCCTCATGGAAGGGGATTCCCCTTCCAAACAATAACAACTTCCACCATCTCCCCTCCTCCCATCCCATCAATCATCACCAGATCTTCAATAAAAGTAAGTGTCATGTATTCTTTATTTAGTACAGTAGTAATTGTGCATGTCTTCTTTTTGGGTGTATAAAAATGTATATTTCATGTGGTAATTTTTTTTCTCATACTTTGGGGTGTCAGGAACGGATTAATTTGATTTCCATTATTTCTTATGGGGAAAATTAATTCGGCTAACGATAATTTCGGCTAATGATAATTTCGGCTAACGATGAGCTCTCAGGAATGGATTAATATTGTTAGGCGAGGGTCCACTGTATATAGCTAAAGAAATAATAGTTCTGGGAGATGAGTAGCGAAAAAATAAAAAAAGAGCAACCATATTACAAATGCTTCTTTCTGTGAAATACAAAATGGTACTATATATTTGGTGTCTGATATAAACTTTATATTGTTGTTCAGACTCTTCATTTAAAGATACAGCCTCTCCTCACTTAGCGATGTACTCCTTTACCGACGGTTCGGACTTATGATGGGGTCTCTGACCAGTATGCATACCTAAATAATGTATATTAGAGCTGATTTCCTCTATTCCTCTATTGTATAAACATAGTACACTACTGTATAAACATTTAAAAATTTACTAAAAATAATATAAATGATGCAAAGGTGACATTAAAACAATAATATCAAAGATGGTTGACACAACTCCACTACCATTATAGTATGCTCCTTGTTTAGTGACGAATTCATTTACAGATGTGGAGTTAGCAATGGAACTCCATTATTAAGTGAGGAGAAGCTGTATTCTGATCTCAACTTTTGGTACAGATTGCTTTGAATAAAGTAGTCATATTTAAAAAAAAAAATTGCTCAACTAAATTGTGACATGATCTGTTTTTTTTTGTCTTCAGAAATTAAATGAGTGCTTTATTAAGGGTCTTTTATAATTAATCTTTCTTCCTGGATAGATGGGTTTGAGGGTGACTTAAGACTTTGGGTGAAGCTGCTTCTCCCTGGAGTTGTGAAACGAATATACAATCTCCAATCCAAGCAACTGGTCAAACTTTTTTCACAGGTAAAATTTGATGTTAATGTGTGAACTGTAGTTGGCTTGTCAAATGTGATAAAAGTAGGAATTTTTACTTTGGCTTATAATAAGTATTCATTAATTCATAATAGGCAGGATACTTTCCTGAAAGTGGACACCTTCAAGTTAGCTAAAAAAAAAATTTAATATTCTACTAGGAACATATTACTCTAGTTTATCATTCTATACTTTCTAGTTGCCATTACTTGTTAACATGTTGTGAAGTTTCTCATTCCTTATCACACACAATTTTATAGTAGAAAAGGGGTTAGTTCCATATCTAACCACTAACTAGGGCCCCTTTCCTTTCTGTTTTATATAGCTGTATTCTTTTTACACGTTCATATTCTGCATTACATATTAAAGAAACTCTTGCTTTCTTTCATTGTCTCTAATTGTATGAATGGTGCATTTTTTCTTATCAAAGATAAGGGCAGTCTGCATCATGTGTGCACCACCTCGTAGCATATTGAAAATTTCTTTCTTTAAGTCTGATGCTAGTAAAGGGGGCTCTTAATCTAAGGATCAAATCTAAGTACAGCAGGGCCTCACTTTTCGGCATTTTGCCTTATGGCATTTCGTTAATACGGCGATCTCAAATTATGACCAAAACTTCCTATACGGCAAGTGGTCTTTCAAATATGGCGCGGGACACCCAGTTTGTTTACATTCCCCATGAGCACATCTCTCTATTATGTAATAATAATCACTCGTGGGCACATTAAATGTCTTATTTTATGTCAATATAGACATTTTCATTAATCCATCTATGATATTTTCTTCAAAAATATATAAGAAACATGTTACATAGCATATAAACATGCTGTTTATATGCTATGGAGGTGTGGTTGCCGGGTGGAGGGAAAACATCACGTAATACTAATAATAATCACTCTTGGGCACATTAAATGTCTTATTTTACGTTAATATAGACACTTTCATTAATCCATCTACTATATTTTCTTCAAAATTATATAAGAAACAAGTTACATAACATATAAACATTTTGTTTATATACTATGGAGGTGTGGTAGCCAGGCGGAGGGAAAACATTACGTCACTCCCCTTAATACGTAACGCTTTTGTTTACAATTCTCGGCATGAATTATTCATTACTTCTCCCTTTGTTTATGATGATATCTGAAGGTAATTGTTAGAAATGATTAAACTCAGTGAACATGGTATGTCAGTGGTAATAATATGGCTCTGGGCCACATTAAATGTTTTGTAGCTATGTAGCCCAGGCGGACTACATACCTACATTATTGTTATAACTGATAATTGTACGTATGTGTACCTGTATTTAAATAAACTTACATACTGTGCTGGCATGCAGGTACACATTAAAATCACTAAGAGTGTCTTATTAGTCTTGAAGACACCATAATAATGATAATAATAATTACACAATAATAATCACTCTAAGGAGCATTAAATATCGTATAAAACGTTAATATAGACATTTTGCTTAATCCATCTAAAAACACCCCATAGTAGAATAAATTAACATAAATATGAGATGTGGTAGCCAGGTGACTTGTAGGACTTGTGGTAGCCAGGCAACTTGTAGGGCTTGTGGTAGCCAGGCAACCTGTGGTAGCCAGGCAACTTGTGGTAGCCAGGCAACTTGTGGTAGCTAGGCAACTTGTAGTACTTGTGGTAGCAAGGCAACTTGTAGGAATTGTGGTAGCCAGGCAACTTGTGGTAGCCAGGCAACTTGTAGGACTTGTGACAAAAACCAGACGCGTTCATCTGCTTTGTCTTCATTATGTGTGGGTGGGGTGGTGAGGGCTGTCCTCCCTGGCTACCCATACTTCCCAACCTGACTTCATACAAATGAAACTCACCTCTCACCCTACATTAAGACTACAAATATTTTAAGGCAATTAATGAGTGTACTATTTATGCATTTTATCGCTCTAGGGAGCTTAATGTCGTAGTAGGTGGGAGTAGCCAGGCAGGATGCCATACCTCCCACACGACTTTCTACAAATAAATACTTTTTACTTCTCACCCTACATTAAGACCTTTAAGACTACAAATATTTTAAGGTAAGTAATGCATCTACTGTATATGCATTTTATCGCTCTTGGGAACTTAAGCATCGTAGCATAGTTTGTGTAGGTGGAGTGGCCAGGAGGGCTACCACACCTGACTTCTTAGAGTAAATACTACTCACCTTTTGCCCTACATTAAGACTTCAAATATTTTGAGGTAAATAATGAGTGTACTGTGTGTGTATTTTACTTTTTAATGCCTAGTTCTGTTGCTAACTTAATATATGTTAGTGTAAACTTGTTATCTGGCATTTATATGCAATTATAAATGGAAAAAAATGGAGTTCTACTTTCCGGCGAAGTTTGCTTTTTGGCAGTAGCCTGGAACCTAACCTGCCGAATAAGTGGGGCCCTACTGTACCTCCTATTCTCTTGAGTATTTTATGATCCCTGTGGGTTTAGCTTTCCCCTCATGACTGTAATAGTGATGATAAGAATATTGATGTATGTACATGTACATATAGTGGGCGAGGGGCTTGGACTTCCCGCAAGCGTGAGCGGGTTAGATAGTAGTGAATGGAGACGAGTGGTTTTTGGGACCTGACGAGCTGCTGGAGTATGAGCAGGGTAATATTTAGTGAAGGGATTCAGGGAAACCGGTGATTTTAATATATAGCCGGTTATTGAGTATTGGAAATAGGAAGTACAATGCCAGCACTTTGAAGGAGGGGTTTGGGATATTGGCAGTTTGGAGGGATATGTTATACATCTTTATACAGTGGTACTTCGAGTTATGAACTTAATTCGTTCCATAAGGCTGTTCGAGTGCTGATACCGAACGAATTTGTTCCTATGAGGAATAATGTAAATTAGATTAGTCCGTTTCAGACCCCAAAAATACACTTGCAAAAGCACTTGCAAAAATACACTTACATAATTGTTCGAGTTGGGAGCTGTTCGAAACTCGAGGTACCACTGTACATATATGCTTCTAAACTGTTGTATCTGGGTGCCTCTGCAAAGACAGTGATTATGTAGGAGTGAGGTGAAAGTGTTGAATGATGATGAAAATATTTTCTTTTTTGGGATTCTTTCTTTCCTTTTGGGTCACGCTGCCTCAGTGGGAGACAACCGACTTGTTGAAAAAAAAAAATTAGAACTTCTTAAGGGAATTATGCATATTGGTTTGGCTATTTTGGAAGCTACTTGTGTGCAGTAAGAATCAAGAATTTGTGGAAAGAATAAGGCTTTGTCTCAGAATAGAAACATACCTGAAAAAGTTTAGGGAAAGAAATGAGAAAAGATAAACATCATAAGCAAAGAAAAATAAGCCAAAAACTAAATAATGGGAAACAGTATTCACTGAAGGAGTATTATGGAGGAGTGAAGGAAAGAGCATCATATGGTGCTTTATTATGAATGAAGCTGAAGGCAAGTAACATTACTGGGTAAGGCCCAACCCACTAAGTGTGATAGGTAAGCCAGTGGTCACTCCAGCTTTAGTCCATCATAGGGCCAATTGAAACCACATTCACATGTGTCAGTAGACATCGTCATCTCAAACATCACCTACCTGTGACTGGTTTTGTGGTTTTTTAACCATACAGCCTGGCCAGAGGCCAGCAATTGTTTTGCTGTGTCTTTGCCATAGAGTTAAGGACATCGCTCAGTGGATCATTTACAACAGTTTTAAATGACAAATTCAATAACAATAATGGCAGTAATAACTGGATAAAGGATACTTGGTTTACCTTTCTCGTGATAGTGGTTTAATGTCATTTGAGGTCGCCCGGTCTCTTTCCAAAGAGAGAGGATTTGTGAAAGGACAGAATAGTCAGTCGTAGTATATTATGGTTATTACACACAGATGAAGACTTTTCCAGACACATATTTACAAAAAAAGTTCAAAATGTTAATTGAACATGTGCCGGAGAATGCTGTATTATTGGTTAAACAAACATTTACTGAATCTCTGTTTTGGGTAATTAAGAAATAAGAATCTATGAAGTACAGTTGATTACCAGTTGTCAGATATAAATGAAAAAACAAATGGATTTTTTTTTTTTTTTTTTCAACAAGTTGGCCATCTCCCACCGAGGCAGGGTGACCCAAAAAAGAAAGAAAATCCCCAAAAAGAAAATACTTTCATCATCATTCAACACTTTCACCTCATTCACACATAATCACTGTTTTTGCAGAGGTGCTCAGAACACAACAGTTTAGAAGCATATACGTATAAAGATACACAACATATCCCTCCAAACTGCTAATGTATCCCAAAACCCCTCCTTTAGAGTGCAGGCATTGTACTTCCCATTTCCAGGTCTCAAGTCCGGCTATATAAAAATAACCGGTTTCCCTGAATCTCTTCACTAAATATTACCCTGCTTTGAATTATATGCTTTGAATTAATTAGAAATATATTTTATGTACATCATATGATATTTAAGATCTAGTGTACATTTATAAATGAGACTGAAGTGTAAATAAAGAGGAGGAGGAATTTGGAAAAATGTAATTTTTGTTTTTAATTTCAGCTGTTTGGCACTAATCTGGAGGAAATGATTGAAGACTTGGAGAAAGGTGATGTGGCAGAAACAGTGCGGGAATTTTTTGAGAGATCCACAGTTCTTCCTCCTATTAAAAAAAGTATTTTGTCCATACAAGATGTTGATGAATTCTTAGAGGAATTGAGTGGAAAAACACGAGAAGAAGAGCAATCCATGCTTCTAAAACAAATTGCTAAAAAGTTAGTTGATAAGTTTCTCTTTCTAAATCCAGCCAAAACAAATGACTCCTGCTCCTTAGAGACTGAAAATGTCATGCCCTGGAAATTTTCTTGTCTAATATCTTACTAGCTAGTAGATCCTGGACACACGTCCAATACACAGAGTCTAATATTCTTTCACTAGTGCACTTATATTATTTATACCATTTTTACAATAATGCAGTAGTCTGCATAACAGTAAATCTTCTATTTTTTTGTGTAAAAAAAATCAAAATAGAAAGCAAGAGTAATACAAGAGGGCCTGGAGACATGACTAATGAACAGAGGATATGTTATTTTAGTGCCAGGATAATATCTGCATTGTTAATTCTGGACCTTATTTTGAAATTGGCATCTTCTTTAATTTACGTGAAATTGGCCAAATTGCCAATTTTTGACCACTTTATTGGGTAGTTGAAATTGGTAAATGGGTGGTTTCTTGTATTCATTTGATAGAAAAAATGAAGTTCTAAAGAAGTAGCTATGAGTTTGGTCGACTGGAACAATGGAATTGGCCGAAAATAGGACTCAAAGTCGGCGAAATCGCCGATGTGTGTATATACAGTGATCCCTCGTTTTTCGTAATTAATCCGTTCCTGGAGCCGTTACTATAAACGAAATTTACGATTTACGAATAAATTTTCCCCATAAGAAATAATGTAAATGCAATTAATCCGTTCCTGACACCCAGAAGTATTAAAACAAAAAAATTTTTTACATGAAATATACATGTAGTACATAAACAATACAATGGGAAATGATGAATGAAACATTAACAGCATAACACTTACCTTTATTGGAGATTCTTCTTAGTGTATGGGAGACTAGAGGAGGAGAGAGAGTGGATTGTTTATAGTTTGGAAGGGGAATCTCCTTCCAGCAACACCTCAGGTACCAATTGCTTTTCTGGGGTTGCTTGTCTTCTCTGTTTCTTAATACCACTAGGACCACCTTGAGAATCAATGGAGTCCTGTCTCGCAAAATAACTGTGGAGAGAGCTCTGTTTCTGGCGTCTCTTTAACACTTCCCTAAAATGGCCCAAGACTTTGTCACTATACATATTGCCAATATGGCTTGCAACAACCTTGTTAGGGTGATGTTTCTCCATAAAGCTTTCCATCTTACCCCACATAGTAAAAATCTCTTTAATTTCTAAAGAAGGCACCTTCTTCCATCTCTCTTCCTCCTTTGCAGCAAGATTCTGAGCTGTGATGTGTTGCTCTTCCTGCTGAAGCTCTTGCAGCTCCTCAGTGGTGAGCTCTTTGTTGTGGTCTTCCACCAGTTCTTCCACATCCTCCAAACTCACATCCAACCCCATGGAACTCCCCAGTGCCACGATTGATTTTACAACAGACATAGGCTCATTAGGGTCAGTCCCAAACCCTTCAAAATCCCTCTTGTCGACACAATCTGGCCATAATTTTCTCCAGGCAGAGTTCAAAGTCCTGGTAGTCACTCCCTCCCAAGCCATACCTATAAGGGTTACGCAATGGAGGATGCTGAAGTGTTCTCTCCAAAATTCCCTTAGGGTCAAGTGAGTGTCTGTGGTCACAGTCAAGCACCTGTGAAACATTGCTTTTGTGTAGAGTTTTTTAAAGTTTCCAATGACCTGCTGGTCCATGGGCTGGAGGAGAGGAGTGGTATTCGGGGCAAGAACTTTACTGTGATGAACCCAAACTCCTCGAAAATTAGGTCATCCAAGTTTGGAGGATGAGCAGGTGCATTGTCCATTACTAACAGGCACTTGAGATCCAATTTCTTTTCCAGGAGATACTCCTTCACACTAGGGCCAAACACTTCATTGAACCACTCAACGAAGATTTCCCTCGTGAGACCCATGCCTTACTATTAGATTTCCAAAACACACACAAATGTTAAAAGCAGTTGGGGATATAGTTTTGGAGTGGTTGGTGCAATTATTTAATAAATGTATGGAAGAGGGTAAGGTACCTAGGGATTGGCAGAGAGCATGCAAAGGGGATAAAAGAGAGTGCAAAAATTATAGGGGGATAAGTCTGTTGAGTATACCTGGCAAAGTGTATGGTAGAGTTATTATTGAAAGAATTAAGAGTAAGATGGAGAATAGGATAGCAGATGAACAAGGAGGCTTTAGGAAAGGTAGGGGGTGTGTGGACCAGGTGTTTACAGTGAAACATAAGTGAACAGTATTTAGATAAGGCTAAAGAGGTCTTTGTGGCATTTATGGATTTGGAAAAGGCGTATGACAGGGTGGATAGGGGGGCAATGTGGCAGATGTTGCAGGTGTATGGTGTAGGAGGTAGGTTACTGAAAGCAGTGAAGAGTTTTGACGAGGATAGTGAGGCTCAAGTTAGAGTATGTAGGAAAGAGGGAAATTATTTCCCAGTAAAAGTAGGCCTTAGACAAGGATGTGTGATGTCACCGTGGTTGTTTAATATATTTATAGATGGGGTTGTAAGAGAAGTAAATGCGAGGGTCTTGGCAAGAGGCGTGGAGTTAAAAGATAAAGAATCACACACAAAGTGGGAGTTGTCACAGTTGCTCTTTGCTGATGACACTGTGCTCTTGGGAGATTCTGAAGAGAAGTTGCAGAGATTGGTGGATGAATTTGGTAGGTGTGTAAAAGAAGAAAATTGAAAGTGAATACAGGAAAGAGTAAGGTTATGAGGATAACAAAAAGATTAGGTGATGAAAGATTGGATATCAGATTGGAGGGAGAGAGTATGGAGGAGGTGAATGTATTCAGATATTTGGGAGTGGACGTGTCAGCGGATGGGTCTATGAGAGATGAGGTGAATCATAGAATTGATGAGGGGAAAAGGGTGAGTGGTGCACTTAGGAGTCTGTGGAGACAAAGAACTTTGTCCTTGGAGGCAAAGAGGGGAATGTATGAGAGTATAGTTTTACCAACGCTCTTTATGGGTGTGAAGCATGGGTGATGAATGTTGCAGCGAGGAGAAGGCTGGGGGCAGTGGAGATGTCATGTCTGAGAGCAATGTGTGGTGTGAATATAATGCAGAGAATTCGTAGTTTGGAAGTTAGGAGGAGGTGCGGGATTACCAAAACTGTTTGTCCAGAGGGCTGAGGAAGGGTTGTTGAGGTGGTTCGGACATGTGGAGAGAATGGAGCGAAACAGAATAACTTCAAGAGTGTATCAGTCTGTAGTGGAAGGAAGACGGGGTAGGGGTCGGCCTAGGGAAGGTTGGAGGGAGGGGGTAAAGGAGGTTTTGTGTGCGAGGGGCTTGGACTTCCAGCAGCATGGTGAACGTGTTTGATAGGAGTGAATGGAGACAAATGGTTTTTAATACTTGACGTGCTGTTGGAGTGTGAGCAAAGTAACATTTATGAAGGGGTTCAGGGAAACCGGCAGGCCGGACTTGAGTCCTGGAGATGGGAAGTACAGTGCCTGCACTCTGAAGGAGGGGTGTTAATTTTGCAGTTTAAAAACTGTAGTGTAAAGCACCCTTCTGGCAAGACAGTGATGGAGTGAATGATGGTGAAAGTTTTTCTTTTTCGGGCCACCCTGCGTTGGTGGGAATCGGCCAATGTGATAATAAAAAAAAACATTGTTTTTCCTGAACACACTGGGATTTTCAGAATGGTACACTAGTAATGGCTTCACTTTGAAATCCCCACTAGCATTAGCACAGAGCATTAGCATCAGCCTGTCTTTCATAGGCTTGTGTCCTGGCATTGCCCTTTCCTCTTGTGTAATGAAGGTTCTCTTTGGCATTTTCTTCCAAAAGAGGCCTGTTTCATCACAATTGAACACTTGTTCAGGTTTCAGTCCTTCAGTCTCTATGTACTCCTGGAATTCATGCACATATTTTTCAGCCGCCTTGTGGTCCGAACTGCAGCCTCACCATGCCTTACCACACTGTGTATGCCAGTACGGTTCTTAAATCTCTCAAACCAGCCTTTGCTGGCCTTAAATTCACCCACATCACCACTATTTGCAGGCAATTTCTTTACCAAATCTTCATGCAACTGCCTAGCCTTTTCACAAATAATCGAAGTCATAAGAGTATCTCCTGCTAATTGTTTCTCATTTATCCACACCAATAATAACTTCTCAACCTCTTCGAGTACTGGTGATCTCATTTTTGTCAGCATAGTTACCCCCTTTGCAACAACAGCATCCTTGATTTCCTTTTTCTTGGCCACTATGGAACATAAGGTTGTGTAGTTTTTCTTATACATCCTGGACAGTTCGGCCACACTTGTACCACTTTCATATTATTCAATGATGGTTTTCTTAAATTCAATCGTATTTCTCACCTTCTTTACCACAGGCTTGGCACTAGGAGCTTTCTTTGGAGCCATGGTAGCTTATTTAGTACTTGCAAGCACTAAAATAAATGGAATATTATGAAATATTTTGCTGGAGCACGTGAGGGGGCCTTCGCTCACTGGTAAACAATGCCAGACTGGCTGCCGCCCCGGCTCATGCCGTGGGTACACGCCCCGGACGAACTACGACTCGCGAGTCAACCTATGAAAAGCGAGTCCATGTTTATACGATAATACCCCTATGATTGGCGAAATTTACGATTGCCGGGAACTACGAAAAGCGGGGGACCACTGTATTTCCGAGATCGCTAACTTCACAGGAGCGTAATTCTGTAAGTTTTCGATCAAAATTCGTACTTTTGGTGTCAATACCATCAGGAAAAGAGTCTCTATCATTTCATAAGAGACATTTCATAAGAGATCACTTCATAAGAGACTCTTCAGGATTTGGGTTTGCGACAGTCAAAGGATTAATATAAAACTAAGAGAAGGAAGGAGAGCTGTCACATCAAAACACTAGCTTAATATAAAACTGAGAGAAGGAAGGAGAGCCATCACAACAAAACACTAGCTTAATATAGGAGGAGAGCTGTCTCAATACTGTAAGTTTAGTGCTACATAGTTTGAGAGTTTTAAGAAGTGCAGTCGCCCTCATATCATGAAGTTTTCCAGTAATAATGTATCAGCTGATCGTGTATCTACCTTGCCACACT